GTCCGGGACCCTAGACTGGAATTTGGGGAATTTTGGGTATGTACGAATACGTATTCAACCTGGAAGTTCAAAAATACCTGGTAGCCACACAGAAAATAAGAATAAAAAATAAAAACAAAAAAAGAGGGACCAGCGGCGGGAAGGAAGGAGGGAACCGACCAAAGGGAAGCACGAAGAAGGAAGCAGTGACGCACCGACGCACCGACCACCGCTTTCCTCAGCTGGTCCAGGCTCCATCTTCCCTCCACCCCCTCCGTCTCCTCTGCACTGGACACTTCCATGCACACTGGACCAGCCACTCGAGTCCCCGCCGCCGCATCACTTCAACTTCTTGCGCATTCTGGCCAGCTTTCCCCAAAGTCAACCCAGCATCTGCATCTCCGAGAAACTTCTCACACGACACAAAAACCACCAGCTTACCGTCGCAGCTTTCTCCTCAACTACGACATTGCTACAGAGTACCAATTTCGACTGCTGCATCGAATATTCCACATACATCTGTTCTGCCCTTGAGAGCCGCCGCACTCAGAACACATCACGATGGCTCCCCCTCCGCCTGCCAACGTCCCTTTGACCCAGAGGCTTTTGCTTCTGGCCCAGACCCTGCAATGTATGCTGATTCCCGTCTTTTCGCCTGCATGTCTCTGTCGCCATAAACAGCTGCTAACATCTTCATCAACAGTCGCTTGGTTCGCCGGGTATGTACAGACCATCCTGATATGACGCCCTCCTCCCTCCCTGCAACCCGACGACCCGAGATATGCACGTGGAGATGACCGATGGGCTCACAATCGACGAAACCTACCTCTATTCTGCAAACGTTGGCTGACAACTCCTGCTGCAGACACTTGTCCCTTATTTTTGCCGTTATCCGTTATGGCTTCTCCTACATCTCCTTCAACTACTACAGCCGGATCGCCCGCTTCAGCTACAGACTCACATTCCTGTCTGCTGCCCTGACCTACGGCATCGTCGTCTACAAGACTCTCCGCGCACGCAGTAAGGCTGGAGCCAAGGCTCCCCAGAGCCCTTTGGCCCTGATTGCCGACGAGAATGTTCAGTATCTTGGTGAGTTTGCATCCTTGCCCTCTTATTGCGGGGGAATCGCTTCTAACCATGCGACCCCAGTCATGTCCCTGGTGTGGCTTCTGTCCCCCCAGTACCCCCTGGCCATGCTCCCTTACGCCATCTACTCGATCTTCCACGTCGCAACTTACACCCGCGCCAACGTGATTCCCACCATCACTCCTCCCAAGCCCATCACGCCTGCCGCTGGTGCTTCCCCCAGCGGCAAGGCCCAGTACGCGAACAACCCGATCGCCGACAAGATTGGCGCTTTCGTCAAGGAGTACTACGATGCCTCCATGTCTGTCGTGTCCTCGCTCGAGATTCTTCTCTGGGTTCGCCTCCTCCTCTCTGCCATCACCTTCCAGCGCCGCTCCTGGATCTTGATTGCCATTTACACCGCTTTCCTCCGTGCTCGCTTCACCCAGAGCACCCACGTCCAGAACTCGCTCGCCCTTCTCGAGTCCCGTGTTGACTCCGCTGTCGGCAACCAGGGCACTCCCCCCGCCGCCCGCCAGGCTTGGGAGACCGTCAAGGGAGGCGCTCGCCAATTCTACGCCTACACTGACCCCAACCGCTACCTCAGCGGCACCGCTGTCCCCAAGAAGACTTCCTAAGCATTGGCGAAATACGCGAAATGATTTAAAGTCATGAGTACCTTCAAGGGTGCAATGACAAAAGCCTTACTCGAGATGAGGCTGATTGTCTAGCGGCTCCGCCGTTGCGAAGAGCCAGGTTGCAAGCCAAATAGGATGAGAGTATTTCTCGGCAGGGGACGATTACGCAAAGAGGTTTATAACGAGAGTATACGGTCGCAAAGGAAAAGAAATGAGCGGGAGGGTTCATGGCCGGCCAAGGTTCACACGGTGTTTCGCCGGTAATTCAGGTTATTATAGTGTAGGCGAGTTTGGGGCCTGATGGTTTACCGGGATGCTCTCTGCATCGCACGATGATTTCAGGTTTCCCGTTTGCTCACTGGCTCCGGCCTTTGTTTGTTAGTTTTGATTGAGCAGTAAATCCAAATTCGCATGACTATACAATTTATCTTCATCCTTTCCTTAAATCTTTGTGGTTTGCGGAGCTTGCTAAAGATGCCAACAGCACAAGCTAGCCAAAGGGCTGAGCACATGTTGCCAAGAAGCCGGGGCGGACGACGACACTAGCCACACCCGAAGTGGCGTAGCTCGGCAGCTCTTCCCCGGCTCACCCCACTACGAATGACGTCGCCCTCCCCTGCTCGGAGGCCGACGTCAAGGCTCACTTCCCGCACGCGACCAAGGCGCAGCTACGACACAGTAGACCGTCATGAGGGAGGACGCCTTGGTTAGACTTCCTTGATCGCCCATTTATACTACACGCGCTGCAACAATCCCTATTTTCTTGGCGCCCGTTCGTCCTAAACCTTGCTCCGCTTTCCTGGGTGCATCAATAGATTTGTCTCCATCATGGCCTCTTTACTTCGACAGATCGTTGCGGGACCTCGAGCACGGCACGCCGAGTCGGACTTGGATCTTTGCTATGTTACCAACAACATCATTGCAACGTATGGGGGCACTTCTATACCACACACTATTGCAAAGGGAAAGAGCTAACTCTTTTCAATTTACCCAGATCTGGTCCTTCAGGCACATATCCCCAAAGAGCTTACCGAAACCCGCTCGATCGGCTCGTTACCTTTCTCGACTCGAAGCACAAAGACCAATGGGCGATATGGGAGTTCCGCGCAGAGGGAACGGGGTACCCTGACGAGGAGGTCTACGGCCGAGTACGACATTACCCATGGCCTGATCATCACCCGCCCCCATTCCGTCTGATTCCTATGATCATGGCCAGCATGCGAAATTGGCTTCAGGGAGGCGATCTGGAGCCGGGTAATGTTGCCGTCAGCGCTTCTGACAAGGCTGCGGAAGGAGATGACAAGAGGGTCGTCGTCGTTCACTGCAAGGCTGGTAAGGGCAGGAGTGGCACAGTATCCTGCAGCTACCTTATCTCCGAGTGCGGCTGGAAGCCCGAAGAAGCTCTCACGAGGTTTACGGAGAGGAGAATGCGGCCCAAGTTTGGGGCGGGCATCTCGATTCCCAGCCAGCTGCGAACGATTACATACGTCGACAGGTGGACTCGAGGTGGGAAGAAGTACGTTGACCGGGCTATTGAGATTATGGAGATCCATGTCTGGGGTCTGCGAAGTGGCGTCAAGTTTGACGTTGAAGGATTCGCCGAGGAGGGAAAGAAGATCAAGGTCTTTCACACATTCAAGAAGAGCGAGAGGATCGTCGTTCAGGGCGATACACCAAGCGGGGGCGGAGTCGGCTCTATGGTATCCGATCTCGCCAGCGTCAGCGTCAAACCTACGGAGAAGGCGCCTGCCGCGGCGCCTTTGTCGGAACCTACCAACACCAATAATGCAAAGAAGAGCAGCTCAGACAATGATGCTTCGGGGCCTGAGAAGGATGATACTACCCCTACCCGAAGCGAGTCAAAGAAGTTGCGCAATGCGGCGACGACATCCTTGATTCGCACACCCGAGCCGAGCGCGGCTCAGAAGAGAAGCGACACTGATGCTCCGTTGGCGGAGCAGTCACACGCCAAAGCCCAAGCGAAGTCAAATGGTGGCGAAGATGGCGAGCCCGGCGGTATGGCCGTTATTCTCAAGCCAACAGAGCCCATCCACATTCCCAACAGCGACGTCAACATCTCAGTAGAGCGTCGTAACCGTACCTCGTCTTCCATGGGCCTCACAATGGTCACCGCTGTTGCCCATGTCTGGTTCAACGTCTTCTTCGAGGGCAACGGCCCCGAGCAAGATGGCAAGGCTGACGCCAGCGGCGTCTTTGAGATTAGCTGGGATGCTATGGACGGCATCAAGGGGTCCAGTCGCAAAGGTTCCCGCGCCTTTGACAAGATCGCCGTTGTCTGGCGTGTGGCAGACTCGCAGCGGGCCGAAGACGGCGGCGACGAGGTGATTTCACCGACGGCCGGCGAGATCATCAACGAGCCATCGTCTGGGTCGCCCGTTCCGCAGATGCAGGCTGCTGATTGGAAGGGTCACAACAAAGAGGACCCCGTCGCAGAGAAGCACCTCGGACTGAGGGATGAGAGCCCCGAGAGCGCGGACGTGAGCCGCGCGAGCAGCGTCAAAGACGATGCGGGCGTGTTGGGCGGCGGCAAGGATGGTAATGATACGGACTCAATGGAGGGCGTCAAGACGAGCGGGCCGTTTGGGGAGGAGCAGCTCGATGCTGAAGATGTCGATGTGAAGAAGGTGGAGAGGGAGGTTGGGGAGGGGAGTCTGAATAAGCAAGCGGATCCTGGGCCCGAGTTGCTTGATTCTCCTGACACCGCGAGCGGGACGACGGCGATTGGGAGCACCGAGGTGAAGAAGTGAGCATCTAGAGTGCGGGTTGCGGCGCTTGTGTAGAGCGTTGTTGTTTCATGTATGCATATTCCTGGGTTGTTGATACCATGATGAGGGAAAGGATGGCTATAGACGACTAATTCCATTCACGAACTTCTTCACCGGCCTTGTCCTTGTCAACTCAAGTCGACCTCGCGGTCTATACGGCTACGATTTCCTATATGCCAGTGGTCGTGCCGTGGATCATGTCGATCGCCTTTCTTGGCTAAGCATTGCTTACTTGAAATGATTTAGTATTTAGACAAGATTTTCGTAAGTTTGACAGAAGCCTAGAAGGCGGCGTGACTCCTCAACGAGTCAAGCCAGGGCCATAGAGGTGGCTAATAAAGATCAAGGGATCTGCCCACGGCCAACGCCGGTGAAAACATATGTATCACAGTCCATTCTCCTCAATTTCGATGTCTCCTTCGATTCGTTCACACATCTTATTACTCAAGCTCGAACAAAACTACACATAAGACGGAGGTAGCAGCTTATCGATGATAGGTTCGTCGGTAAACAATTCTAGAAATTGAGAAGCATGTCTCAAGCAAGTCTAGACTCGAATACCTGGTACCTCCTCTCAGACGCTAGAGTCACCAACGTCACAGGTCCTATTATAGGATGCTTGCAACAGACCTCCGATGGCCTACGAACCTACTCATGCGACGATAAAGAGATTATGGCATGGCAATTCCAACCGGCAAACTCCATCAAAGGCCGGTACCTCATTCGATCAAACGCAACCGGTGTGGGACTTCAACTATCAGCCTGCTGGGACCCGGCAGAAACGGCGAATGGACACACGGCAGTCTGCATGAGAAGAATGACCTCAGAAGACTCACAGCTGTGGGATATACTCGACTGGGGCGATGGCACGTTTGACCTCTTCAACGCTGCGAATGGTTCCAGCTACATCGTTGACCGCCATGCGGGCAGCGGCGTGTTCATGTCGGACCAGATTGCGGGATCAGCCAGTAGCAACTCGGTTGATGTCCCTGGACAGCGCTGGATTATTCGAGGTGATCGAGCGGTGAATGATCCCGCATATTCGACAGTGTTCATCGTAAGACCTTCTGATGTATCCCAGGAGCCTTTTACTCATCACAAAGACTAATAGTTCGGGTCTTCTTTTGGATCTTTAGGAAGGCCCAAGTTCCACATCTCCTACAGCATCTCTTCCGAACACAGAGCGGGGATCATCCAAAGGAACATCTCCGGAGATCATCGCCGGGATCACAGTTGGTACAGCTTTAGGAGTCATCTGCTTTATCGCCATCATGCTTTTCTTGTCACGTAGACGGAAACTTAACCATGGTCCCAGGCTTTCTGGCAATCACCAGCAGAAGTCCATAATCAGTTCTTATGATAAGAGAAGGCCGATCATTGACCAGCATGCCATTGAGAGTGGTGTTCGTCAGGCGACAAATGTACAGGAGATGAGTAGCGGTGTTCAGGTGGCTTGAACTACCTATATTGGAACTTATCCACAAAAGTACATAAAAAGCAAGTAACCGGAGTAGTCAGTCAGTGGGAAGTGGAAGGCCAGTCAAGCCTTGCTGCTGTTGATTCGGGCGGGCTGAATCTCGTGGCTTCAAATGAAAATCCTCTTCATCAATAGCCTGAGCATGCGCCCCCTCGCGCCCCCTCTTTCCCCCCACAGAGTACAATCTGACTTATCATTGCACGAAACAAAAGTGCTCTGCATGTTCGTCAAGACTGATAGAAGTGGGAAGCATCACGGTAACCATTGCATGTGCCCAACGAGGAGGTAAAGCAAGGGTACCACTGGTGCCTGAGTAGTAATGATAAACAATTTGCCTTGCCAACGATCCAACGACGATCACATCCCAAAAGTCTATCGGCACGCCTTCAACTGGGACCTTCAATGTGTGGGAGGCATCTATTTCTGGAATCGCAGGAAGTGTCACGCTACAACACTTCGAATTTCTTCAGCACCCATCCTTATCAATCAAACTCTCATTCGACTGCACGGAAACCGAGCCCAGAGTCGGCCACCCTCAGCCTGCTCTGCGAACTTGAGCCGCTGACCATGGTAGGATCAATCTGGGGGCTGAGCTTGCAGCATTTATCGTCCATTGTAGCATTCGTTTAGCGCAACCATTACAATATTGACAAGGCGACCTATAACGTGCAGCAACGAAATGCTCCAGATGTATCGACTATCGTTCAGCCCCCATTGCCGCGCCTTAGACTTCGCCGCTTTCAGAAGCTCGGAACCCATGTAAAGTGAGGCGGCCTAGAATGGCCCGTACCTAGAACTTGAACATTGTACGCGATTGAGGAAATATTATAAAATCTGGAAGCCCATTCGTAGGTGAGAGTGTCTATTGAGCCTCCCTGCATTTGATAAACTGAAATCGGCGACAGTTTCTGCCAATTTACCCAAGTCATCTGGCGTCGCAACAATGAGCTGGGATGACTATACATCTTACTACGGGGGATACGGTGCCTTCACGCCTGGAGTGAAGAGTACTGCGAAATTCGCCAATACTCCCGCAGCTCCCACCAAGTTGACGACATCATCGACTTACACGACAAGTGTTCAACTAACTCGTCCCACAATAAAGGGAGGGTCCATCTCGTCAGAGAAATCAACATGTACTGCTACAGCAAGCATCCTTACGTCGAATACTGCTGCGGCAAGGTCTCCTACGTCAAGAATTTCCTCTGCCGAACCAGCTCACACCAACGCCCCTGCAAGATTTGCTCAGATGGTTGATCATTTGGATCCCATGCTGTATGAAGTGACGGAAGAACAACTACTCAAAACTCCATTTGGCGACATTTGTCCGTCAGGAAACTGTGTCGACGACTGCCAGAATATGACTCGAGTATTCCAGGCAATTCCTCAAGGCCTCCACGTAGATCCGCTACGCTACGGACGAATGGAGGCACAAAAGGCAAACGTAACCCTGTTCAGTACTTGTAGTAATCTTGGGTTCTCTACAAATTTTGCTCCTGCAGAAGAGAATGACAACTTCACATCCTACTTTTCGACAAACGATTCTACAGACCTTTTCAAAGTGGCCGCAAGCATAGCAAGCTGCTTCGCTGCAACTTGCGAACAAACGCGAAAACCTACTCTTTGTGCCGACGCATGCTCCCCGGCTGAGTTATTGTCATCTCCGACGACATTCGATTACATGTTAGGTCTCCCGAACTGTGTAGTCAGGCTTTGCGACAATACCTGCTCGTTACCTTATGTGGACCCTGACGTCTTGGGCATTGGTGTGAGTTCCTCTCCCGGCATTGGCAGTAGGCTTAAGGACTCGATATATTGATCTGTTGATTCATTAGGTTCTTGTCTCGTACTACATTCAAGCACTACTTCTCGTTATCTGTGCTACGACCATTATGGTATCGACTGGATTCCAATTGTGGAAGGTATCACAGGCTCAACCGACTGTCAGAGGAAGTCTGAGAAGCCCGTTGGAGACATTTGTGAGAGTTCAAGCTCTGTTTGGCAGTACGTACCTACCTATCTTGGTCCCTTGAATGTTATCCTTGTCATTATCCATTGTCTATTGCAAGTGATCAACTGACTGATTGTTCTAGTTTCTTTGGCTATCGCAACACTTATCATGCGGCCCGATGAGATCGACCCATTGAACGGATATGCCCTAATTTTGACAGCTATCATGGGTTTCCTCCCACCAGTGTTCACCCTTATGTTGCTTCATAGCCACGGAGTACGATCGCGTTTCTCGACCGCATTGGTATGTGCAAGCTATTTGCTCAACACCGTGACCTTTTTCGTACTCGTTCGGAACCTCTCGATTTCTACACATGACAGGCTCTTTCTGGATAAAGCCATAGACAGCCTCTTCAGTGCCGAAGCATGTGGCGGTGGCTCGGCTATATCACTTTGCTACCAGCTGACTGGTACGGACCCCGTCGGTTTCCTCTCCGGCTTTTACGACAACAGTTCGTTCGCAAATATCAAGACTGTACCACTCCTATGGATATGGACAACGCTGGTGCTACTCGTGTTGATCACCAGACACCTTGTGGCTACCACACAAAAGAGAAGCGACGCAGTGGGTCAGTTACCGCCTGCCAAACCCCAAGGTTTTCATCGGAGCAAGCGACCTTCCGGATTTCATGCATTCTTGAGTAAACCGCTGTTCACATTTTTTATACTATCTTTGGCGATAATTCTATTCTTCTTATGCCTTCTGTATCAATACCTGTTGGTAAAAGCTAATGCTCTGATGGATGTGATTGATCAGAAAGGTTGGTCCTTTGGACAAGTCGTAGCCTTGTTGTTCTGGGTGCCACCATTCCTTGATATTCTCCGGTCAATGTATGAGAAGGAAAAGTATGAAAAGGTTCAGAATGCGCATGAAAGCCAGAGCTAGTGGAAAGATCAGGTCAAAGCACTCTTCAATTTAGTACGCTGAAATTCTATTTGCATTTATAAGTGTGATGGAGCTTGTAGCTCAAATTCAATCAAATTTTGTGGACAACCTTTGCGTACAAGTTTAATCGTGGAAAATCTTTCACCTTCACAAGACAGCAACTGCTCAAATATCTTCAGCCTTCTAGTCCAACTCCTTGCCAATCTTGTCAAACTCCCGACGCCACTCAGCGACCTTCTCGACCTTCTTGAAGGGGTCAAGGTTCATGGCCTCGCTGTCCACGTACACGCTCTCCCCAAGAGTGAGTTCGCCTCGCCCAACGAAATTGCCCAGTTCAAAGCTCGCATACTTGGAGCTGGCATTAGAACGGCCACCGTCTTCCCAAATTCCAACCTTGAAGGTCGCACCCGGCCGGAAGAAAAAGTTGGACCCTTTGGCGGCGCCACTCCGCGTTCCACTGTTGACAATCTTTGCCGAAGTGTGAGGCTTGTTGGACTCATCCTCTTTGTGACTCTGGGAAGCGTTGTTTCCGTTGCCGCCACTTGGTTTGCTGTTGCTCGAGGTTACCTTCCCGCCGCCGTTGTTGCTCCCGTTCCCGTTGCCACAATCGCGGCAGTCGGCATCCTTCGCGGAACCGTACCCTTGAGATCCGTAGCCCTGAGAGCCATAGCCGTGGGAACCATACCCTTTGGGCTGGGAACTGTTGTCCTTGGTTGACACTGAGAAAGACATGCCAGGAACACCAATTTTGAAGCCTTCTTTGGAAGAAGTGGTCTTATCGTTCTGAGGCTCGGGGTTCTTTCCACCTTCTTTGGCAGTGTTCCCACGATAGAAACCGTCTTGGGGAATGATGGCAGCATTCTTGCTACCAATTTCAATGTTCGACGGGAATGGCTGCATAGGCGCCTCGCGAACATCCTCAATGAGAAGGACCAAATGTTTCTTCCAGATCGAGTCGTCCACCTTCTTGTAGAAGTTGAGCTTGCAGCGGCCCGCGGAAAGTTGCGTGTTCGGCGCACGAGTAATGACGTGATCAATGTTGGCTTCGTTTGCTGTATGAACTTGGTAAGCCGAATGTCAGAGGTAAGACTAGCAGCATGAATGCACTTACGAGTTCCGTAGAGGTAGAATGGCATGAAAGTATCCGGGTACTTATCGAGGCGATACTTAGAGTTCAATGGGCGGCTAACAACGGTCTTCCCTAACTGAACACAAACGTCTTGAAGGATGATGCCGCTAAAATCGTTAGTGGGATCACATAACGTGCTACGAGTTGAAATGCTACTTACGACTCTTTTGTCATAATCTGACCATCGAAGTGGCCCTTCTGCTCAATGACATCCTTGGCCATGACCTTGCGCTGAGTTACGAGCAGCATCGGCTCGGTGGGGTTCGACTTCTTCAAAGCAATGTACTTGGCCTTCGACTTCTCGTCAAAGCTCGCGTTGACTATGAGTTGCTGTCGATGGTTCGCCACATGGAACATAGGCAGATGGATCAGGAAGATCTCCTCTGTGCCCTGAATGAGGAAGCTGTGGAAATCCGGCGCCGGTGTGTTGCGCTTGCGGACGATCTGCAAATGCAGGTCAGCTACTGACACAAAATGATAGACTTTCAAGAACAAACCTTAGTCTCCTTCGCGACGACATCATAGAAGATGTCGGCGAGTTGATTTGTGAAGTTGCCGTCAGTAGGGAATGGGGACATGACGACGTTTCGCAACACCATCAAGTCTTGTGAACTCTGCTCTAGGCCGAGCCGCTTGACATAGTTTGCCTTACACTCTCCGTACAGTTCGTCTGAGAATTCGGTGGAAGTCAAGAAGAGAGGAATTTTGGTAGGATCGTCGTCTGGGCTGTCAACAGAAAGGGCCTCAATGACTCTCTGCATGAGGTAGTTGGCCTCTTCGATATCATCGTTCAAGCGTCCGTCTTCGTAGCGGAAGTTCAGCGCGAAGGCGTTGATGTTGAGGTCTGAACCCAGACTTCTCAGGAGTTTCATGACCTTTTCGTCGTCCGGTCTGGCTTCATCTTCGGCAATAATGGAAGCGTTCGTCTTTTTTACAATCTCATCCCTGATACGCTTCTTCTCGGCCTCGATCTTCTCCTCGGTTGCATTCGGCTCAAGCTCAGATGGGAGCATGTTGAAAGGCACGCAGACGAAAGGACTTTCGGAGTCTGTCAACGCTGCCCACTCTGCTGACAGCTTCATCGAGTGTGTTAGCATGGAACATGAAAAGACAGCACAACCAATCCTGAGAATGATGGAGAAAGTGACTGAGACATACCCTGCTGCAAGTCCAAGTAACCTCTCCAAGTAAGGCACCATAGCCTTCGGCATCAAGACCAATTGTCCTATTTGACAACCACGTCGAAACTGCAGAGGCACCGGGTTTACTGCAGTGAATATGCATAGTTAGTTTCTTCTCCATTACTGATAGATCTCTTCCAATAGGTAGACTGACCTTCCTTCGACACCGTAGATGCCAATGCTGGTGACCGAGCCTCGCGATAAGTAGGGACTCGTCCAGGTGACCAAGAACCGCATACGATTGTCACGGTAGCAAAGGCCACCAGCGGGATAAGGGATGTAGCCTGCTTTGTGGGGGTCAACAGTAATGGAGTCGGCAAAGCGCATGGCGAACAAATCATCCTGAGTCTGGGCACGAAGTGTCGCATCCGGCACAAAGCCATCGGCCGCACCCATGTCAGTGGGAAGATTCATGACATCTCCTGGCCGATAGTCCTTTGGCAACATGGAGCAGAAATATCCACCTGAAATGAGGTTAGCGCATTCAGTTGCAAACGGAGTCGATTCTCAAAGGCTCGGAACACTTACCCCAGGCAGCGTCGGCATGAACAACAAAAGATAATCCTTTCGCTTGGAATTGCTTGCGCAGGGCTAGAACACCGCTGAGAGAGTCCACGGCACCCTCTTTGAAAGTAAGGTCAGGTTTTGATCAACTCAGTGCGTTCCGTTGGCTCTCTCTTACCTTCCGTGGAACCTATGATAGCAACCACCGCATAAACGGGCTGTCCTTTGTCAAGATTCTCCTGCAATTTCTTCTCCAACGCGCCCAAATCCAGGCGAGCTCCTGCATCAACTGGAATGCCGATGACATTATCGGAGCCCAAGCCGCTAATTGCTAGATTATTTGAATGCGATCAGTCTCCAATCAGTACATTGAAAGAGAGGCAATTACTTACCAGCACCCTTGGGCCAAGAGTAGTGCCTGGTATTCGACAACATGCATTGGCCTGGTAGTTCAAGCCCGAACTCTCGCTCCAACTCATCCTTTCCAGTGGACTGGATGGTGAATTTCTTCATTACATCTGAAAGGAATGCATTGGACACCCCGTGCTCCTGATATAGTCGATCAGGTAGATCAAGAATATCGGATGGCTTCAAGTTGAGCAGATCCCAGGTCGATAGATCAGTGAACAACTTTGTTTCACCCTTGCAAGTCTCAACTTTGAAAGCCTCCGACAGGAAGTTGAGTGCCTCGCCATTCCCAAAGGCCTTGCGAAGCGATAGGGGATAGAACTTCAGGTTTCGAGCTGGGAAGGTATGAGTAACCGATATTGTAAGGCGATAGTTGATACATACCGACCCTAGAAATCAGTCGTTAGCGTCTGACAGTGTTGCAGAGACTGAAGGACCTCACCACATGGATTCCAGATTGGCAACGGTGCCGTCACAAGTCACATGGCCCCAGGAAGTAGGCGATTCGGCGTTGTCCTCCTTAATGTTGTAACCAAAGAGATCGCACAGCTGCTCGCCCACTTCTATCTCTGCCAAGGTCGACAGTGGACTTGCTTCGAACGCGACGTTGTTTGGATTGTAGAGCATCGTCATGAAGTATCCCAGCATTGAAGGCATGGTCAGGTCAGTGCACCTAAGTCAATCAGTTCAAGCATGGCACACTAGGAAGAGGCTAAGCGAAAAGTACTGACATATGAGCTTCATAACGAGGGGACCAGAATGGTATGCTTGACTTGCCCAGGATGTTGGAGGCCTTCCGAACGGCATTCTGGAGCTTGTCCATGGAATTGCGGAAAGCAGGCGTGTTCTGTGTCTTCTCATCGATGAAATTCTGCTTTCATATCAGCACCATGACCTTTTGTACTTATCAAGCAGTTGAGTATCTTGGTAACGTACTCCATCTTCAGGGTAGTAACTCTTTCGCGCACTCTCAAGTTCATCTAAAATGATGTTGATGTTCTTCTTGAAGTATGGAAGGTTCTCGGCTTGTGGCCCAATGAAGTACGACGAGATGATCTGATGAGACTCATCCTCGTAGGTGGCCGTGGTATTGTACGTCGTATTCTTGGAAGTCATGATGGGAGAAGAAGTAATGTGGTGGTCGTTGAGTTTCAGCGGTAAGCTGGGCAAGGTTATTCACAACTGAAAGCGAAAGGAGAAGCCTTATAAATACATGTACAACTCGATCTAAGAATTCTCCAGTTGCCGCCTTCTGAATCTCGTTGAAACTTCTTTCGACCCTTTTGCGGTTGAGCCAATGGGTAGATGGCACTGCATTTCGCAGTTTCGTGATGACGAAACGATATTATGCAGGCTGGCGATCAACGACCGCTTCCGCCTTCTAGGACCTTCATGTATTCACCCATATTCATGCAAGGTCTTCATCGAATGACTTGACCGGTCAGGCCTTGCATCTCGTATGATGCCAGTTTCAATGACCCCTCACGGGAATGCCTTCCACATACTCACCGGTGTCATCCTAGCGAGATTCCGATCA